CTCCAGAGGACAGGCCGCTGGGCAGGCTGTGACTGTACCTCAGGCAGCCCTGTCCGGCTACAGACGGACGTTCAGAGACTCTGAAAGGCGTGTTGCTAGGGGAAGTGTTGAATACACTGACATGCCAGTGCCAGAGCCCAGCGCATCCAGGGGACCAGGGTGTGCAACCGCATGGCCTGCAAGCAGGCCTGGGAAGTCACTGGCACGGCTGGACAAAGATGCCGGCGTCCCAAAGGGATATCGGAGGGCCAGACTGGAGGGACAATCTGGAAGGTGCTAAATGACCCCCAAATGCACCATGGCTGGCTGGGGGGGAGGGGGTTGCCTGAGGGCCAAGTCTTGTCATGCTGAGTACCTGGACATAGCGATGGGGGCTCTGAGGAATCAGGGGAAGAGGCAGGCTGAGCAGGAGCAGAGGCAGGTTAGCCAGACCTCTCTTTGTCCTCCTTTATCAGCCTCCCTTTATCCTCCTTCTGGAGCACAGAGGCCTTACCAGCTCAGACCGGCCAGCACGTGAGAATCTGCCATTGGGTTCCCTTCAAAGGGGTTGATTTAAACTAAACACGAGCTGCTGCCTGTCCCCAGGGGGGATGCTGCAAGCACTTCCAAGGAGAGGAGACGGGCCCTTCAGCCTCGGGTGAGAGGTGGCTGGGAGGGGGGAGGGGACTGAGCAGGTTCTCAGTGGAAGGCACCAACCTGGGGCCGTGCCCCCAGAGAGCTCTGGCTGCAGCTGGACCAGAACCCAGGAGACAGGCGAGCGTCTGGGGAAAAGGGGGTTATAAAAGAGCTGCCCTCTCTCACTCGTGTCTTTAAACCTTTCACACCTCCTTCCTCCCCAGGGAGCGTTCACGCCCAGCCCCCTTCCCTGCTACCTCCATGGAGGGTCTGAGCCCAGCGTAATAGGCAATAGGCAGAAAGCCAGGAGGAGGGGGGAGGTGTGCGGGACGGAGTGTAGACAGCGCCCAACAGAATCAGCCTCCCTGCAGAGCTGCTACGTACTCCCCTGCTCAGGAGGAGGCAGGTTTTGCCAGCTGAAACCTGATCACCTGCCCACCCAGGCCCCCAGGAGAGGGCCCTCTCAGCAAACTAAGGACAGTGCTGAAGGCTGGTGGGCTACAGAGACCTTGGTGACCCAGACCAGCCAGGCCTCTGGGCATCAGCTCACCATCCCCATGCGAGAATCTCCCCCCACTCCAGCTGGCCGGCAGCTGGCAGCCGGTGGGGATGGCTAGCACTAAGCTGTCCTCCCCATTGCGCAGACTAGAGCCAGGCACACAAGCCACCTTCCCTAGCAAGAAGACGGCGTTTCAAACTGCTCCAGCAGATGGCCCCACGGGGAATCTCTCAGCCACGGCACCAGCTACAGCAAAGACCCGTCCAGGTAGACACACCTTAGCTGGGCTGGACCGGAGCTGCTGCCCCTCTGCCCAGGCCGGAGGTCACGTCGCAAACTCCCGCATTCCCCTCCGCTGTGTGCCGCGAGCGCTGCTCTTTGGCCGGAGGGAAAGCCGCGGGGAGAGCTAATTGTTCTCATTATGGCTAATGAGAAGGCAGCACGCTGGGTGTTGGCAAACAGTCTGACTTGATTTCTTTATTACCAGACAGTGACATGACAGGGAGACACTATTAAACCCACAGGCCCTTCCCCGGCAGGTTGGCGGGAAGCAGCCCTGCTGCAGAGCACAGAACAGTCTGGCATGCAAAGGGCAGAGCTCTTCTGGGGTGAAGGCTGCTCTTGGCAGCAGCAGGGGGCGGTCTCTCAAGCTGGCAGGCCCCTTCCCTAGGGAGCCCTGTCCCACCAATGTGAGTCAGCCACCCGGCTAGCTCCGGATTTCTGCCTTGATAGGACTCCGAGAGGCAGAAGGGGGTAGGCCCTGTCGAGCGGACGTCAGAGAGGGAGGCTGACGTTGCGTCTCTGTGTGGCAGTCCCGAATGGAGAAGCTGGGACGTGACTCTTCCCAAGGCACTAGGCCTCCAGAAGGGCAGGTCTGAGCGCTCCGCTGCATTCCTCGCTCTGAGGAGTCACCCAGTCTGGTCACTCGTACGGGAAGGAGCGTCTGCCAGAAACCACTCCAGTCAGCTAGACAGTCGCAGCATCCCACAGAGGCTGGAACGAGGGGTGCTGCAGCCCCTGGCTTGAAGTGGTTTCCATCACAGCTAGCAGGGGGTTTCAAACGACGGGTCGCGCCCCAGCACTGGGCGGTGGAATGTCGGGCGCTGGGTCTGGTTGCTGCAGGGGGCTCAGTAGGGGTGTTGAGGCAGCTCCCTGTCTGTCTTGGCCCCACAGACTGTGCAGCGCCTCAGAAGCGGTCAGCAGCAGGCCCAGCTCCTAGATGGGGGGGTGGAGAGAGCACACAGGGCTCCGCATACTGCCCCTGCCCCGAGCGCTAGTTCCACACTCCCATGGGCTGGGAACCTGCTGCTGGCTGCTTCTGGGGCGCAGGATGGTCTGCAATGCCAGGAGAGGCAGGAAGCTGCCTTAGCCCCCCTGCTGCATTACTGACCGGGAGTTGCTCGAGGTAAGCCCCTCCTGCCCTAGTCCTGACACCCCCCCCCCAAGCTGGAGCCCCCTCCTCTGCCCCAAATCTCCCTCCTCAGCCCCACCCCAGAGCCCACACTCCAGTAAAATTATGTTGGGTCACCGGCAGCAATGATTTTTTTCAACTGGGTCACGAGAAAAGTAAGTTTGGGAATCACGGCTATGCAGGTTCCATGGCTCTCAGCACCTCTAGGACCCAAACTGTTCCAACGCTTCTGTCCAGAGCCTGTGTCTTTCCTTGCCCTTGCCCGTTAGGTGTGTGTACTGCAGCCCGTCAATTATACTGGAGCAGCCTGGAGCAAGGACTGAGCTTAGGGGTTGTCTGTGAGGTGCCTCCTGTACTTTTGGGCACTGTAAATCAAGTAATAGCAACAGGAGGTAGGAAGGTGAAAATAGAAGGATTTTCACTGCCTTGTTCACTATTCCAAGACAGGAGGAAGAGGAGTTCCCAAGCATGAGTGAGATGTGGGAAAATATTAAAGCTGGGACATTAGATGATGATTATTAATAGATTTCTGCTGTTATGGGAAGTAACAATGACATTTTGGAACAAATTGCTTGGCAAACAGATTAGTCTCGTTTCACCCAAAGCTCATGTAGAAGTTATTTTAGGCCAGGGTTTACTGTGGTCTGTGGGTTCCAGAAATAATACAGATATCAGAGGGTTAGCTGAGTTCAACCCTAGGTTAAATTATTTATTCTGAATAACTAACCTTAATAAACTGTTCAACCCCTACTTTCTAGCATGAATGTCACAGCCTGGATATAGCTCATTATATTTCTCTGGGTTCTGTATATGTTGTTGTGCAACATGCAGTTTATCTGAGATGGTTTTTTCCTCAGAGCCCTGTGCGTGGAGAATCAGGAAAAAACTGAGTTTAAATACAAGGATTTGGTACCAAGCCATTTTTTTGGAGTCAGCTCAAATATTGCTTTGTTTACAGAAGAGCAATTGCTAAACTATAGAGAAAAACACACCACGCAAGCTCACCTCTGCTCCAAATCTCATGGTGCTAGTTCTTTTGCTAAGAAATTAGTGGATTCGATTCCAACACCTGACCTCACAACAGTGTCCTTTCTTGGAAACTCTCAAATATTCAAGATCAAGTTATTATGATGATAGGGTTGCCAGATGGTTTCAACAAAAATACCGGACACGCTTGACATTACATCATCTACATTACATCACATCAGATATATAGTAGCCCAATGTCTGTGACTCTGTAATGCTGTAGTGTTACGTCTTGCTTCTGGGGGGCGCTGTTGCCTCCCGCCGTGGCGCTCGGCTGACTTCTGGGCCAGGGGAGCTTGTGCCGCTTGCTCCTCCGCGGTGGCCCGGCTGAGCGCTGCAGAACTCAGCCGAGCGCCACGGTGGGAGGGGAAGGGGGGCAGGGCGGTGACATACACAGTCCCACCCCCTCGCCGTGTACATCACTAGGTTTACCAGGTAGGATAAAAAAATACCTGGACACACTTGATCGGGGGCGGGAGGAGGGAGGAACCGGCCGGGAGAGGAGCAGGGCTGGCTGGGAGGGGGGGAGAGCAGGAAGCAGAGCTCGGGGCAGGAGGTCAGAGGCAGCGTAGCCGGCCAGGGGAGGAAGGGGGGGGGG